ATCAAAAATAATCATCAATAACTATAAAGATATATATATATATATATAATAATATATGTAATACACTGCTCTTACATCTTAAAAAACCCTCACCGTTATCAACAATAATCATCAATAACCGCAAAGAGAAAAAGAGAATAAATATATAATACACGATATAATAATATATATAAAAAAGAAGAAGAAAGTTTGTGAAAAATGATTTCTCACCTCTGAGATGTTCAAGACGTAAGGCGAATTTACGAATTGAGGCGCGTTATCATTGGCGTCAGTCACGCGAATGTTGACCGGTATCACGAATCCCTGAAACAAATGGAAAAACGGATCGGAAACGATGTCGCTCCGTTTGTTACTCGACGCTCGTAATAAGCCGCATAGAGTACAGGGTCTAAAGTGTGTTTCCTCTCGCAGATCACGTTCACGTAAACGCTCGCTGGCCCGTCCACGCCCTCCTTGTCCAGAGGTCTGATGAGGGTTAAATTCTTGGAGTAGGCGGAGAATGTGACGGGGCTGTCGAGTTCCTGAAGCCTGAGCTCGATGTCGCCCTGGGGCCCGGGGTCGCCCAACACCCCGAGCACGCCCACCGTGTCACCGACCTGCAAATCTTCGCCCACGAAGAGGTGGGCGGCGGTCGCGCCGTTCTCCAGGAAGCATCTCGCGTCACGGATCACTGCGTCCAAAGATAAATAAACATTGTATAACGATGCGCGTGAAATTAGAATCGGATTGGAAAAGTGAAAAGTGTATCGACGATATGTAAATGCACGCGAAATCATTGTTGGGAAAAAATTGAAATGAAAGATATCGGGAAAAGGAAGAGGAGGAGTTTCGAGCGAGTCGGAAATGATGGGTAAGAAAGTTGAAAATTGAACGGTTGGCCACGTGTGAGAGAGATATTTCTTTGGCTGCTTCGAGCGTAGAACGAATCGTGTTTCTTCGATCCACATCCAGGTATCGTGTGGTTTTTGGGTTTCCGGAGTTTTTTGTGAAGCGATTCACAAAAACTGGTCTCTTTCTCTTATCGAAACTTCTTTTACCTTATTCTTATTTGTTCAAAGACAGTTACGCGCGGAGAAAAAAGAATTTGAGGGTAATATTTTATGAAAATTTCTCTTATGCTAATTAGTTTCGAGTCTTTTCTTAATTGGATGGCTTCTTTAAATGGAAATCTTTGACTTATTTTTCTCGTTTCCGTGGAATCGAAAGAAGACTAGAATAATTTGTGCGACGACTTCTTTGAACTTATTGAAACTTTCAACGACTTATTTGTTTAAAGACAGTTACACGTGGAGTGGAAAAAAATTTGAGCCTACCTATAAAAATTTCTCTTATCCTAATTACTTTCGATTCTCTTCTTAATTGGATAAAAGAAGACTTCCTTAGGTGGAAGTCTCGGACTTATTCCCCTCTTTTCCGCCGTATCAAAGGAAGAATAGAATAATATATTCAACGACTTCTTTAGAAGGGAAAAACATGATAATCGTTCGTAATAAGATCGAGACGAGCGGTGTTAAGCGATCATTGCCTCTAATTCGTCGTGCATCGAGGCTTCTCTTGTCCGTTATTTCTTCGACTTAACGTTGTTATTTGTGCCGTTTTTACATCTATTGAAAAAAAAATTAATAATTAATCGATAACTAATAATCTGTAAAAAGGAGTGACAGAATTAAAATTCATCTAGAATCTACGAAGAAAAATCTAATCTTCACAACTACTAATCTTCAATTCGTAACATCGAAACATCGCAATTTCCCTTTTATTCCAACGTGGATATTCAAATATTAAACGAACTATACCACAATGTTTCGTTCCCAATCCATAGCACCATATATCCATATTAGAAATCTATGTTACAAACGAGCGGTACGAGTTGTTATTTACATACATTCGCGAATGCATACGTACGAAAATCCGACACCAACATATGTCGCGCATGCGCGTAGTGTGTATGTGCAGAAAAGAAAAAAACGCGTGCGCACAGAAGTCATTTAACAGGCGCGCGTGCGCGAGGGGTTAGACGTGTGCGCTCCCTTGGAGCGGAGTTCCGCCCGAGGCCAGCTCACGGCGTATCGACGATGCAACGTTCCGCGGTTGCTTTTCGTAATCTTTTTTCCCTCCAGTCGAAGACTTTTCCAGAAGAAATTGCACGTATATACATATATATATAAATCGTTATTTCCAATTCGATGGAGGAAATTTACGTTTATCGACGTGCACTCTTCCGAGTCGATGAAATTTATCATGGATAATAAATGGAAATGGTACTTAATCGTGCACGAGCTCGATTGCGTGCACGACGAGGATCGCTTAATAAAAACGATGACTCCGAAATTTGAAGCTTTATTTTATCGGTAATGGGATCGTTTCGAATATTACGCTTCGATGCCCGAGCTAATAAAGCGGAACGAATTGTTTTGTCGCGATTATTCGTCCATCGTTTTAACCGTACTAACCGTCGTAGAAAAAGGGGCTAATGCGAGTTCGCACGATTATTACACGAAGTGAAAAAGTAAACGCGCGTCTTTAAGCGTCGTCTGAACGTTTAAGCTGTCCCGTCTGTCCAGATAACGAGACACGTAAATGAAAGAGCGACGATTCCACAACCTACGAGTCTCTTGATTGTAACAACACGTTGTAACATTGTATTATCACGAAGCTCGTCGTGAAAAGAGAGAAACGCAAACCCTTAAATGGAATTTGACTTTACTTTACTTTCAGGATGAGGAAAGAGATCGGATCAAAGAGTTCATAAAAGAATGGCGAAACGAGGTAGTGGAAATATCTCGCCGCCTCTCTTTTATCACGGCCCAATTATTTTGTGCGTGCAAAAAATGGCCGCACAAATTTCTACGAATGTATCCGGAGCGACGGGGAGAGAAGAGAGAGACCGTCAAAACCGTATCTCGATTTTCGCAATGGAACCACTTTCTAAGTCATTCGATCTTTATCCTCTGGTGGATATGTCGCGAGAGTCGTCGAAGGGAAACGGACTGCTTATTGTGCAATATGATTGCGACGCTTCTACGATTCGACGTTTCTACGTTTATGCAATAAATTTACGATTTGTTTTACAGAGATCAAAGGCACGTTTTCTACGTTCCATGCAATGAGTTTACGATTTGCTTCAGAGGCGCAAAATATTTTTGAAATATAAATTCGATTTTTATCCTCCGGTGGAATACGTCGCGAGAATCGTCGAAGAGATACTAAAACACTGTGCAACAATGATTTCTTTAAATGCGACGCTCTTCGATTCGACGTTTTTACGTTTATGCAATAAATTTACGATTCGTTTTAGAGAGATCAAAGGCACGTTTTATACGTTCCATGCAATAAGTTTGAATATTTCCAATTTTTGTAATATAAATTCGATTTTTATCTGACGATACAATGATTGCGATTTCTTTCGATGCGACGGTTTCTTTTCCATTCGTCGTTTATGCAATAAATTTACGATTTGGTTCAGAGAGATCGCGAACTGTTTCCAATTTTTCTTCCATACAAATTCGATCTGTTGGATCGTTCGCACGCGATCAACCGTGCGATGAAACGAAAGGCGGCGCGCGATTAAGGTCGCGATCGAAGCGGAATCAAAGGGGGAGGAAGAGTGGATTATGGAGCGGAAGGGGGAGATGGCGTGAGAATGGCGGAGGGAAGACCCACGTTGTCCCGCGTGTAAATGCAGCGTGTAACAGAGAATGGGCAGGATCCTCAGAATATTCCGTCCCATGGCGATCCAAGGACATCCTTCATCGGTTCGGGCAACGGCCGGCGCATCTGCAAATTCGTGCAAAATTTTATGCATAATGTGAACAGCTGCTCGAAAGTCATCGATATTTTGCACTCGTATTTCACGTATACTACCTATTCCTATCCCATGAGCGGTCAAATGCAAAGAAACATATGTATCTTAACATAGATTTTAGCTAATTGGATTCGTGAAGTACAAAACGGTAATACAGAAAGTTGTGAATATTGAAAAATGGGTTGTATCTACACTATAGAAAAAGTCAACAAGTCATATGGCGATAACTTTGTATACAAGAAATTCTAAAAAGAAATTTCAAAAACGGTCATTGACCACGCGCGTGGTAGGTTTAGTGTTAAGAAGGTTACCAATAAGAATGTATATTTACTGCGACATACGAGTGCAAAGGGTTAAAATATAAAATTATCGCGGAAAAGAATATAGAAGAATACGATTCTTTAACGAGTTTCAATTCTTCTTCTTTTTAAGTCGAAGCTCTCTCGAATAGCGTGACCACGAACAGTCTCCAACGAGCGAGAAACGAACGCAAACGTTTGTCCTGGGATCGATGTCCAAACAGTCGAAGATGTTGCAAAAAAAAAAAGAAAAAAGAAGGAAAAGAACAGAGACGCGCAACTGAACATAACGCGTGGTTAGAAAGCATGCGAAGAAACTGCTTTATTACGTGAAACCTAGATACGTGGAACGACATCGGGTGGCGGAATTTCGAAAATTCGAATCGACGAATAATAAAATAATCAGAGGATTGAAAGAAAACCATCCTTCTTACATTCTTCTTCTTCGTTCGAACGAGATTCGAAATTACTCGAAAAGATTGCACACTCCTCGATTTCCTATCGGGTGAAAAAAGAAAGGAGAGGAGACGTTGGGAAAAGTTATTAATCGCCAGATGGCGGGTAAGGCAAAGCCGGATACGTTATGTGGGCCACGATACTTGTCAAATTCACCGACCGTAAACACCGCCACGGCGTAAAATCCTCCCTCCGCTCAGAGAATCACGGCCCGATGAATCACTACTCCTTCGCCCGCCACTTTCACGATCGAAACAACGTATCGATTTTTCGATTAACCGCTCGAGAGGTGACTCTCGCTCACTTTGCTTGAAATTTGCTCGGTAGATTCATATTACAAAATCTACTAACAGAGGAGGAGAACAAACGCTTAATCACTTGCGAAAATACGTTAGTATAGGCAATTGACTGGAGATTTTCGTCCGATTCCGCGTAAATGGAAAGCTGCGTAACATTCTAACAGGAGGGATTGCAAACTCTGCTCCCAATAACCCCGGCAAAACACATCGAACGATATACTATGTTGTGATAGTTTTTTTAAATCATGCAATTGTTACATGAGATATCATACGAAGATTAAGAAATTATCTTCGTAAAGATACATTAAAAAGTTTTATGTGCTAATTTATTATGTGTAATCATTTTAGAGGTAAGAAATTCAGAGTGATAACTTTTAAAAAACTTACCACAATTCTCTTCGACGAACGCTCCTCATTCCATCCTCGATCCCAACAAGCCGCGTATCAAATCGGCATCGTTAACACTTCGATTCGAACTTTTTCAACATTTTGTCCGAGCACGAAAACACAAATGGTTGTGGGCAAATTCACAAATGGTCGAGGAAAACGAAAGAAAATTTTCACCAGCTACATTTTCCTTCCATCTATCCACGGCGAATTAATATTTAATTCGAGGGAAGGAAGAAAGAAGGAGAGAAACGTGGAGAAGGCAGGTGAAACCACCTGTCCCAACCAACTTTTGACCGGCCGCTACGAAACACGGACGGGCAAAGAGACGCGGTAGACCGTCACTCGGGAAGTCGGTTCTCCATTGTTGGGAAGAAGGGGGAGCTGGACGGCCAACCGAGCGCCAACCTGCTTCGAACAGGTGTTTACTTTCGTTGGCAGGAAATTGGACGGCTGCACATGCGACCTGCCCCTCCGAAATTCTCTGAGAAAAACTCGTTACAGCGGCCGTTTTCCAATCGAATTCCCTCCTGAAAATCCCTCCAATTGCTCGATGATATTTATTTGCTATTGTGAATAGATTCTCTTTATAATCTCTATAAAGTGTAGAGTAATATATCGTCGAATGGTTAGATTTTTTTTTTATCTGAAATTAGATCGAACTGCATTCGTTTTGCAAGGTGAAATTAGTTCGAGATGAGTTTGATTTCTCGTTGTTAAATAACGAGATTATCTCCGTTCGTTGACGATAGAGAGAAGGCGATGAAAATAAGCTGACAGACCGAGAATGCCAATTTGCTTTATTATTAAAATATATCCCACGAAATGTAGACTTCGACATATTTTCTTTCTTTTAAACATTCATAAAATAAGCTTTTGCATTTAAGAAGGTTACCAATCGAGTAACAAAATTCCCTAGTAATTATATGTAATACAGTGCAAAGGATTAAAATGTAAAAGTTTTGCAGGTTAATTTCGTGCGTGAAATCGTGTGGAGTCGTTGGCTGGGCGAGAAGCGAGCGAAAAAGGCCTCGAGTGCAAAGGGTTAAACAATTATCCCTCCTATTTTGATGTTCGTTGCGCGGAACATGGAAATTCCGTGAGGAAAGAAGAAGGAAACAAACGCGTGCGAATTTCGAATTTTTATACGTGTAATCCCTTCGTATGGAAGCGAATGTGTTAAGTTTAGAGAAGATTGAGTCAAGGGATATATATATATATATATTATGCAAGCACGGTTATATCGGTTTCTCGCTTCACGCGATCGCGTGTCGATGAAACGGTGTCGATATCCGATTTTGAAGAATCTTGGAGCAACACACAACACGTGGGAGAAATCTTTTTTATTCGAATATAATAGAAAGGATTTCGTTCAAGCGGCTAAATTCGACTACGATTTAATAAAGGAGAAACGATCGATTAGATTTTTATATTAAATTTTCTAAACTAAAGAGAGAGAGAGAGAGAAAAAAGGAATACGAGAACACGACGCGTTCACACCAAAGGCGCTCCGTTCCACTGTATATAAGCGTCTTGCCACCTGTGAAAATATAAAAGGATATATGTATGAAATATATCTAATAAGAACGCGAGGAAACGAATGGAATTAATTATTCACTTGGAACGAATCAGTTTCTCCAACGGAGTTGCAGCCATGTCCGTGCATTCCTTGCTCGGCCCCTCCAACTCGGACTCGTTTCCGGAATTTGACCTGGTGTCCACGGTCAGAATGGCGTGGCTCCCGCCGCAAGTGAAGTATTGAATCTCGAACCTTGCCAACACACAGAGAACGTGGAAAGCGCATCGTTTAACCCATCGTTTTCCCTACGGGCTTCTCCGTGCTCGAGAAAGATCGTTCAATTGAGGTTGCTTCGACGGTGTTTATTAAAAAAAGGAAACGTCCCTCGAAACAGGGTATTTGTAACTTCGAAACACGCTCGCTTTTAATTACAATCAAAATAACGTTGTACACAATGTAATAATATGATACGATTGTGCGATAATAACAATTGTTAATATGTCTTATTTTTCATCGTTTTAAGGGATGGGATAAAATCTGTATAAAAGATAATTAATCTAAAAAAAGGATAAACAAATTTGAAAAATAGGATAGTTTTGTTGGAAAAAAAAAAGTAAATTATCTTTCTTCGGTAAGCGCTAACTTTACTCCCTGGGAACATTAGGACAAGCGTCTCCAAACCGATTTGGTTTTTTTTTTTTGGTGATTTTTATTATCGAGGAATCTCGTGAGAAACAAAATATCGATGCTACGTTTCCAAAGAAAGATACTCGATGTCTAATAATTCCTCGTCACATCGTACAATACGCGCCATCTTATGTAGAACGACTATAACCGCCCATAGTACCTCGATAACATTTTATGCAGAACGACTATATTAAGCAGAGCGATTATAGTCGTCCGTAGTGTCTTGGTGGCATTTTATACAGAGCGATTATAGTAGTATCTCAGTGATATTTTATAGTAAACGACTAGATTAGGCAGAGCGATTATAATCGGCTATAGTGTCTCGGTGGCATCTTATGGAGAACGATTATAATCGTCCGTAGTATCTCAGTCGTATTTTAAAGTGAACGACTATTGTCGGTCATGGTATCATAATGGCATTTTATGGAGAACGACTATAGTGGATCATGATACCTCGGTGGCATCTTGTACAGAGCGACTATAGTTACCCATAGTATCTCGATGGCATCTTATGCAGAACGACTATATTAAGCAGAGCGACTATAGTAAATAGAGCGATTATGGTCGCTCATAGTATCTCAGTGGCATCATTTTATGCAGAACAAGTCACCCGTAATATCTCAGTGGCATATTATGCAGAGCGATTATAGTCGCTCGTAGTATCTCAGTGATATTTTATAGTAAACGACTATATTAGGCAGAGCGATTATAATCGGCTATAGTACCTCGGTGATATCTTATGGAGAACGACTATAATACCTGTAATACTTCGGTGGCATCTTATGGAGAACGACTATATTAAGCAGAGCGACTATAGTAAGCAGAGCAACTATAATCGTCTATAGTATCTCAGTGATATCTTATGCAGAGTAGTTACCCATAGTATCTCGATGGCATCTTATGCAGAACGACTATATTAAGCAGAGCGACTATAGTAAATAGAGCGATTATGGTCGCTCATAGTATCTCAGTGGCATCATTTTATGCAGAACAAGTCACCCGTAATATCTCAGTGGCATATTATGCAGAGCGATTATAGTCGCTCGTAGTATCTCAGTGATATTTTATAGTAAACGACTATATTAGGCAGAGCGATTATAATCGGCTATAGTACCTCGGTGATATCTTATGGAGAACGACTATAATACCTGTAATACTTCGGTGGCATCTTATGGAGAACGACTATATTAAGCAGAGCGACTATAGTAAGCAGAGCAACTATAATCGTCTATAGTATCTCAGTGATATCTTATGCAGAGTGATTATAGTCGCTCGTAATATTTCAATAGTATTTTATGGTGAGTATATGGTGACTATATTAAGCAGAGCGACTATAATCGGCTATAGTAACTCAATGGCATCATCTTGTGCAAAGCAAACAACTATAGTCGCTTGTAGTACCTCGAAGGCATCTCGTGTAGAGCGACTATATTAAGTCGGCCATAGTACCTCGGTGACATCTTATGGAGAACGACTATAATTGCCTGTAATACTTCGGTGGCATCTTATGGAGAAAGACTATATTAAGCAGAGCGACTATAGTAAGCAGAGCAACTATAATCGTCTATAGTATCTCAGTGGCATCTTATGCAGAGCGATTATAGTTGCTCGTAGTATCTCAGTGATATTTTATAGTAAACGACTATATTAGGCAGAGCGATTATAATCGGCTATAGTACCTCGGTGACAACTTATGGAGAACGACTATAATTGCCTGTAATATTTTAGTGGCATCTTATGAAGAACGACTATATTAAGCAGAGCGACTACAGTAAGCAGAGCAACTATAATCGTCTATAGTATCTCAGTGGCATCTTATGCAGAGCGATTATAGTTGCTCGTAGTATCTCAATGGTATTTTATGGTGAGTATATGATGACTATATTAAGCAGAGCGACTATAGTAAGCAGAGCAACTATAATCGTCTATAGTATCTCAGTGGCATTTTATGCAGAGCGATTATAGTCGCTCGTAGTATCTCAGTGATATTTTATAGTAAACGACTATATTAGGCAGAGCGATTATAATCGGCTATAGTACCTCGGTGACATCTTATGGAGAACGACTATAATTGCCTGTAATATTTTGGTGGCATCTTATGGAGAATGACTATATTAAGCAGAGCGACTATAGTAAGCAGATCAACTATAATCGTCTATAGTATCTCAGTGGCATCTTATAAAGAGCGATTATAGTTGCTCGTAGTATCTCAATGGTATTTTATGGTGAATGACTATAGTCAGTCATAGCACCTCGAAGGCATCTTGTGCGGAGCGACTATGATCACCCGTAGTACCTCAATGGCATCATCTTGTGCAAAGCGAACGACTATAGTCGCTTGTAGTACCTCGATGGCATGTTGTACAGAGCGACTATAGTATCTCGATGGCATCTTATGCAGAACGACTATATTAAGTCTGCCATAGTACTTCTATGGCATCTTATGGAGAATGACTATAGTCGTCTGTAATACCTCGATGGCATTTTATGCAGAGCGACTATACTCGACCAAAATGCCTCGATAGCATCTTGTACAAAGCGACTATATTTTTGGCCATAGTACTTCGATGGCATCTTATGGAGAACGACCATAGTCGGTAATATCTCAGTGGTATTTTATGGTGAACGACTATAGTCGACCGTAGTGCCTCGGTGACACCATATGCAGAGCAACTATAGAAAGGATTGAACAAAATAAAATTTCATCCCATCTGTACGTACCGTCGCTCGGCGTGATAATTTCTGAGCAGCTCGCGATTCGTGTTGAAGAGGACACCGTGATGGCCGTGGCACAGGGTGACCCAAATCGGCAAATTCGGGGTCTTCAAGCGGGAGCCGGGCTGTTTGCTCGATTGTCCGTCACCCTCGTGCACCAGAAATCCTATCTCGCTTCTGGCGAGCACGCCCCATTGCGGTATAGCCTTGCGCAAGAAGGTGAAAATCGAGGGAGGGAGGGAGAGAAGAAAAAAGAAGAGAAAAAAAAGAAACTTACGTATGTGTTTTCATCCCCGACGTGCAACACCCCGTTGTGAAGATGAGGGGAAGCGCGACCGGTCAACGAGAAGATTACCACGCTTATAGAGCCCTCCTCCGGACAACCGCTCAACATCGAACTTCTTGGATTTTCCAGATCGATTTTCACTCTGGCAAATATTATTTATCGGATCGGATTTCGATCTTTCGATGAGAGGAAGATTGACGATGGGGGAAATATTTTGTTATTTATCTTACTTGGAAAGTCCTCTGGAGAGTACAGCGCTGTACAGCAGCAATATAGCACCGGGACTACCCTCGTCTTGAAACTATACGGGTTAATAATAATAATAATCGTTTTCTTCGGAGAAATCGTGTCCATCGTTTAAATAAAATGCATTGATAAACTTACCAAGTATAAGTATCTCTTGATAAATATCTCCAGATCGTCCAAAGATTCGAATTCGAACAAATGCAGCTAAGGATCGGAAAATTCGTTCGATTCTTCGAAGAATTCATGAAGACGAAGGATGATGATGAATAATAATTATGAAGGAAAAATAAATAGTACCTTCGAGTAATGCAAGTTTTTATAAAAAAAAATTATTTTCGAATAACTTTTGTTCCAATTATCTCATTTTGAATCGCTTTTCCCCTTAAAATTGCTTCCTAAAATTCAAACAATTTTGAGAAAAATATAAATCTACCAACAGAAAAGAAAAAAAATCATTCGCTTCAAAAACAAATTCTGAAAAATTTCAAATATCTTTCATGCTCGATCGATCAGTAGAATTTCACAAATCGATCGACAATCGATAACGATAATAATCATGAAGAAAAATAATCGGTTCACTTGAATAAATAAACTTTCGCGAAAAATATAAATCTACCAACAGAAAAGAAAAAAAATCATTCGCTTCAAAAACAAATTCTGAAAAATTTCAAATATCTTTGAAACATCGATCGATCGGTAAAATTTCACAAATCACAATGGCGCAAGAATACGATCGCACGAGGATTTAAGAATTTTTACGTACGGTCTCGGTGAGACCATCCTGAAAGTATTGCACGCTATGCTGCACGTAGGGGGTCTCTTGTGGCAACACCACCACGGCCGTGGACACGTTCTCGTTTCCGCCGACACTTTGACTCGGCGAGCAACCAACATTTTGCACGGCGAACCCACCGGCGCAACGCCAAACAATCTCGGCTATCGTCGACGTCAACGCATCGATCTGCCTGTCGTACGACGGTTTCAATAGGCTAAAATTTTCAACAGGTAAGCAAATGTTTTTTCCGCGAATAATTTTGTAACGAGGAGAGATTTTAACGAAAGCACCTTTCGGGGTGGCTGTCCCGCCGCTTAGATTTGAACAGGAAATGCTTGAGCATCACGGCTTGCACAGCCGTGACGAGGGCCCTGGTCGTGTTCCTCGGTGCCCGTAATCCGAACGCCAAGCTTTGCCCGTAAGGTCGCAACGTGAACCCGGTCCTCGCCCATTCCGGCCTCGGTGGAGTGGCGCAACTCCCGAAAACCAACGTTCTCAGGGCCTAGGAAGGAACGTTTCGAGCGAATTTAAAATGTCAGAGAGGAGAAAAAAAGGGAAGGCCTTTTCTTTCGTTCGATATCTTGATCAACGAATTACCATGCACGTCTTCTCATCGATTGGTTTGCCTCCGACAACGGATGTTTTCGTCAGTGTCCTCGTATTCCTCGGGTATATAATCTTCTCTAGAAGAAGGAAAAAAAAAAGGGAAAAAGAAACGGATGAAAAGGTTCGTTGATTCTTTCCTCTTCTCTAATTCTTTAAGAAAAATCCTTCTCAAGAGAGGAATTCTCCACCTGGATACAACTCGTCCGGCTCTGCCATCAGAGCTGCGCACCTCGCCGATCTGGTAGACAGCGACATTACAAGTAAACGCGTCCTGAATCTCTTTGCACAGCAGGAATATGTGAAAAAGAAAAAGAAAACGAGGAAAAGGAGTATCTTCCAACCAACGAATTGACAAAGAGATCCGAGTAGTAGAAATAACTTGGAAGATATTCGGTTCGAGATGGAAAATTGCGACGACGATGCACACCGGCCCAGGCCTCGCATCAAACTATCAAATATCAATTGGGATTCGTGCCGAATTCCAGCTACCTTTTATATACAGCCGGATAGGGAACCGGCGACGAAACTTTCGAGCCGCACGAAACGCGTCACTTTGGACGTCCAAAGACACTTTACCCGCGAAAATAGGCGATAGACATGCCCTAATAACGTCTATCGTCCGTCGTTTTGCAGTCGTGCGCAAAAACGTGTCTCGTGCAACCTGCTCAACCCTATTTTCCCTTAGCGCAAATAGTCGCTCCCCCCCTTTATTCCGGGGGAGGGGGGGGGGGAGGGGGGAATAAATTTCGAGCGCAAATGTGAACGGTGCATGCATTTTCATGAGCGTGGAGGTTTCTCGTTCGAGTTTCTACCCGGAATCGTAGAATGTTTTTCTTACTTTTAATCAACACCAGTAATTTTCGTAAAATTTTCTTTTAAAAGTCCTTCGTTGCAACGCCTTGTTGCGAATTCGCGAATCGACGAGTCATTATCTGGATCGTACTTTTGTGCTATTTGTTATACGTCAAATATGTGGAAGATGATTTTTAAGAAAAAAAAAAAAAAAAAGAAAATACATTGAATCATTAAACGTACATTAGATTTGGCAGATAGTATCCAATCAAAATTGGATTAATGGGGATAAATTTTGCGCGAAATTGTTGCAATTATTCGAATCACTGGATACAAAACTAGCTTCCGCGATGTTGCATCTGGAGCGGAGGTTAATTGACGAGGAAAAATAGTACGTCTTGTTTTTTACCGAAATAATCGTGTTTAGCAAGGAAACCGTAAGTTTAACCGTAAAGTAATCGCATGTATCCTCGTATCCCATTTTTGCAACTTGTATTGTTGTTTCGCGTGACACGTGAACTTTAAAAAAACGTATACAAATACGTGAGAATCGGCAGCTACTTCTTAACCCATTTTCCGTAACGAGATTCACTTTTCACTCCGCAAATACGTAATAGTTTCGGTACCTGTCTCGAGGTTATTTCGAGTTGTTGCGAAAACAAACATCCTCCTTTTCCGAGAAAAGAAAATTACACTAGATTCAAAATTGATTTTAATCGAAAAAAAAAAAGAAAACTAAAAATATTCGATCCTCTGTCATTTTTTCAAGGATCTTTGCGAGTTATTTTTTTGTTGTAAAAAGAAACATCTTCCTTTTCCGAGAAAAGAAAATTACGTAGATTCAAAATTGATTTTAATCGAAAAAAAAAGAAAACTAAAAATATTCGATCCTCTGTTATTTTTTCAAGGATCTTTGCAAGTTATTTTTTTGTTGTAAAAAGAAACATCTTCCTTTTTCGAGAAAAGAAAATTACACTAGATTCAAATTTAATTGAAAAAAAAGAAAACTAAAAATATTTGATCCTCTGTCATTTTTTTTTCAATATCTGTCAGTTCTTCAGTCTATCAAGAATCTTCGCGAGTTATTTCGAGTTTTTATAAAAAGAAATATTCTTCTTTCCACAAAAAAAATTATCCTAGATTCAAATTGAATGGAAAAAAAAAAGAAAATTAAAAATATTCGATTCTCTGCCAATTTTTCAAGGATCTTCGCGAGTTATTTCGAATTTTTGTAAAAAAAGAAACATCCTCTTTTCCAGAAAAGAAAATTATCCTAGATTCAAATTGAATGGAAAAAAAAAAAGGAAAACTAAAAATATTCGATTCTCTGTCATTTTTTCAAGGAATTTTTGTAAAAAGAAACATCCTCTTTTCCAGGAAAGAAAATTACCCTAGATTCAAATTTAATGGAAAAAGAAAAGAAAACTAAAGATATTCGATCCTCTGTCATTTTCTCTTCAATATCTATCATTTCTTCAGTCTATCAAGGATCATCGCGAATTATTTCGAATTGTAAAAAGAAACATCCTCCTTTCCAGAAAAGAAAATTAGATTCAAATTTAATTTTAATTGAAAAAAAAAAAAGAAAACTAAAAAATACTCGATCCTCTTTCATTTTCTTTTCAATATCTATCACTTCTTCCCTCATTTCTATCAATCTCCATCGAGGCTTTTGCGAGCTCGAGGATACGACGAGTAAAATGCATCACGAATTCGCACGATAAAGAATAATCGAAATCGAATTTTCCACCGTGAAATGATGTAATTGACGGACGTAATAACATCTTACTTCACAGACCAAGGAATAACGGGGATTTGCACTTTAACACGTACATATATATATATATATATATATACACACCAACCAACAGTCTCGAACGTACTTTTCAGAATCGCGTGCTCGCGTGTAATCGAGTCTATCGAATTACGAATTCGCGTCGGAGCAAGCATCTGCATTTCCCGATTACACCTACCGATGTAATGCAGTTTAATTTGCCCTCCCCTCCCCACACATTCATTGATCTAATTCGACCAGCAAGCACCTGACGATTCTTCACGACAAAGTCATCGAATCGATGCTTCGAGGGAGTGAAATTTAACTCATTCGTTGGTAAGCATTCCATACTTTCCGCTTTGCACAATTCTTTCTTGATCATATACGTACTCTTTTAACGCGTCGAAACCAAGTTGAGATAAGACTTTTACGTGCGATGTTTGCATTATCTATCGAAGGGTTTCCTGTTGAGACAAGTTTTAAATAGGAATAGTTTTTTTTATCTATCAAAGGATTGAGTGTATACGAATGAAATTTAGTGAAATTTAACGAACGACGATTAGCGAGCATAGTGAAGATTTTGGGAAAATTTGCAGACGATCAATCATCGGATTTTATCGTGTTTGGACGAGCCATCGCGTACCGATTTCTCTTGTGAAAGAGACAGTTCTCGAGGATCGATCATCTTCTCGTTTAAAGTTCATTTGCGAACAAGTTTCGATACGACATTTGCAAGCAACGTTAAGAATCGTACCTTTCTGGCGAAGGTACGCCGGCTTTTCCGAACGCATTTCCGTGCACCGTTTCTTGCCACGCACCGACGCCGATGACGACGTGGATGTCGAACACGAGTTGCTACTCTCCTCGATTTCCTCCAGTCTTTCCTCCATATCCTCCACTTTTCTCAAAATCCACACGCGAGAAACGCTTCAAACTTTTTCCAACAATCGACACTTGAACCCCAAAATGGCTTCATTCGAACGTAACGACATCGTCGAAGCGATTCCGTATCGATCTTTGTACGAGATATGATTATAAATTTATAGTCTCGGATGAATTGGATATTTTCAACATTTTTTTTAAAGATATTAAAGAGACTGTGTATCAAAAAAGGGGTATGCGAGTTTTCAAGCGAAAACTTTATCCTCCGCGTTTGAAATCTGTATGAAATCGTTTTTTCTTAAAATGGTGTTAACAAGTGGAAGAAACAATCAAGTGTTCTTTGCTGGATCGAGCTACCTAGACTGACAGGAGTTAATAATTCCGGTAGCTTTCGAGTCGGTTCATCGCGCCGCGCACGAGCCTCTACCATCCCACCAAGGTGTCGGATACGTATATGCATAATACCATGAACTCGAGAATTTGAAGGCTCGAGTAATATAACATTTCAGGAAATCCGTGATTCAATAGCTGAAAAAAAGGTTTCGTGCGTCAGACCGACGTCCAAAGTTTTCTTAACTAAAATCTTAACTGTTTAACATCTGGTTGAAGTTTTGATGATATCGATCGATGAAAATACCGAATATTGAAAAGATTCATTACGTTTATACGTTTATAAAAATGTATATATGTATGTAATAATATGTAAAAATAAAAATAAAAAGCATGTGTACGAGATATACATGAAATTTATATAGAAGACATGTAGAAATAGAAAAAAATATATAATATGATGTGGTATATAGGTTAGAAATAAAATATGTGTAATGAAAATATAATTTTTTTTCTTTAGTATTTAATCGGTAGCGCTATCTTTTTGGAAAGTATTCAAACTTGTTGCGAATTATTATCGACACTAAAGTGAACTTTGTTGATGGTGTTTAATTACTAGTGTCATCTCTTTGAAAAGTACTCAAATATTTTACACAGTTATTATCAACAGTAATTGAACTTTCCAATTGTTTAATATATGTAAATATATATGTAAAGTATCTTTGAGAGGGATCGCAGTTTAGTTTAATTCATAGAAAAAAATTTATTGATTTTATTCAAATAATATATTTATTGCCAATAACTATATGTAAAAAGTTTTAATATATTTCAAACAGATGGTACTATTAGTCAAAGACCGTTAACGAAGGTAATTTTGTTGTCGGTAAGAATTTGCAACAAGTTTGAGCATTTTTCAAAGAGATAATGTTATAAGTTAAGTTAAAAAAAAATATATTTTTAAATATTATAAATACATATATTTTTTATATAAATTACTTTATATGTAATGATTATTCTCTGAAATCCTTGATCAAATGTACTTTTATACATATATATACATGCAACCTCGTAGAATAATTAGAATTTCGATATTCCAATCTGATTCGCTTCGCACTATCTCACTTTTATCATAGTTAGCAATCTCTTTGTACGAATTGCATGCAGAGTTTCATTCGATCGAAATAGATAATTATAAAAAATATTTATAATTCTGTTTGATATTACAATGAAAAAGAGTTATTTTTTTCAGACAATCTATTGAAATATTTCTTAAAAAGTAATAAATTGAAAGAATAAATCAATTTCTGTTTTTTTTTTGTATGATATTATTAAATTTAAATAATTAGAATTAAAAAAGAATATTAAAGATATCTTTAAGAATAAAATACATGCATAATTTTTGTATATAAGTAAGTAATTAATATATTAATAATTGAAATATTATGTTGTTTATTAAATTAAAAAAATTTATCATTAGATTAAATATTATCAGATCGTAATTTATGTTTCAATTAGATACTACAATTCTACACTTATATTCTCATTCAGTCATTAAATTTCGTGACGGCAACATAATTGATCCACTCTATCGTAATTATCAATACAATTACATAGACTAGTTAAGTTCAAGTTCATGCTGGTTTGAAATAGGTACTTTATATTCGGCCTTCAAAAGTTTCGAATTTGAGTATATTTTATATACTGTATATGCATGCACACTTGAGACATGATACAGAAATACGTGCACCTTTAATGTTTGCGTACAAGGTGTGTCATAATATATATCATAATAATTAAAAAATATAATATCCTCGTATTAAATATGATACTGCTGAAGATTATGTTAATATTAAAATTAAAATGATTATATTTAAAAACTTGAAGTTAGATATTTTTTAAATGTTATCATTAATAATTAATCATTTAAAAATGAGATTTAAAAATCTTCTTTTAATACTTGATATCTAAATAAATTGAATTTAGTCGAGGCTAATTGGGAGACGTAGTATCAGGAACGAGGTTACGGATTACGTGCAACTACGACTATTTCATTATTGAATCGATCGAATTTATATGTTTCTGCAAAGATAATTATAATCAAGTTTAAGATGTATTCTATATTGTTATTTTTGTATAAATTTGACACAAAAAATATAAATATAAATCTTATATGTATATTAATATATAATATATTATACAAATAGAATATTTAAACATATTTTACAATTACACAAGTATCAAAAGTTTACGAATTAAAAACGAAAAGAGAAACATGTTCTGTTTTATATATTCAATATAATCAAAATGTTATTAATAAATAATATCTTTTATCACAAAAATTGAATAAATGACAAATCTTTGTAATTTAAAAAATCATCTTACATATTTACAAATTTGTTCATATGGTAATTTTTTTACAATAGTATTATCACTTTCCAATTTTACATCTATACTGTAATGTTCTATGTGAAGTTTATGCACAATACCCTTCATTGCCTTATATTTTCCCCAAAGAATTATAACTTCTTTTCCTATAGCAGGTATTACAGTCTCTAGATACTCTTGATCTATTTTTATAACGTGATTCTCAACTTCTTCGGGCGATCGCAATTTGACTTTTCCAATGAAATTGGAATTTTCAACAGATTGAATAATACCTTTAGACTTATAATATTTATCTCCAAGAGTTTTAGTTATTACTTTAACCATTAAACCCTCTCTTAGCCATCCTTCCGTGTTATCATTATCATCGTTAAGTTTCGATTCACGTTTTTCTATTTTTACTGAACTCGTTTCCTTATCTGTATATTCTTTATTTGATACCTCAGATTTTATATCAGAAATCATGGAAGTTGATTCATTACTGGTAGAATCTTTATCTATTTTTTCTTGTTTTATAATGGGAAGTAATTTTGGTTTTTTATTTATTTTCATATTAAGGACTAGAGGCGTATCATTGTCAAGTCGTTTAAGTGGCTCTTTAATACTTTCAGATTGTTCGTTACTTTCTTGTTGGCCTTTTTCTACTTGTTTTTCTATAAATTCCATCATTCTTTCTTCATCATCTTTATCCATTTTTTGTTTTTTAGCTTTTCTTTCTTGTGCCGCAAGTGTTTCTGGGTCCCTGTCAATGTACGTTACGTACCAACCTAAAAACGAAGGAAGCAATAATTAACATTAGTTTTATTTAATTAAATATTTATTATTAGTAGAGATATTAAATTTTATACAAATTACCTTTCTCTGTTTCATCGACAACGCACTGTCCAGTACGTCCAAGCCATTTAACAAATGCAGTCAATGTAAGCCAAATTGTAGCATTCATATGTATATGTCCCCGGTCTGAGATATATTCTTGATAAACGCGGTTAGCAGGTACTCTTCTCGTACCAAATTGTCTTTTTAGTAAATTTAAATAACCCTGAGAAAACTCTTTTGAAAATTGATCCATATAACGAGACGCGTTATCAGCAAATAACAGCAATTGTCTATGATGAGATTCTGACATTGTATGACACTTGAATCCATTTTCGTCTCTGCACTGTTTTTGACACATTTGACAATACCATCTTAACTTTTGCAAGCCTTTTGCCTTAATTTTATTAGCAATATATTTTGGCGTTCCTACTTCGTGTTTACCCATTTTGATATCTAACTAACCTAAATTCGTACACTGTGTACATATCACAAATTAGTACGGAGTCTGCAAGTATAGAGGGCAGATTCGTCAATATATATGCGATACTAGTGCACTCTATACTACTTAACTACAACATTTTCTTTATTTGATATAATTATATTTTATTAATAATGATTTATTTCAACAATAAAAATTTCAATAATATAAATCTTTCAATAATTAATAATTGAGTATATATTAGTATATGATTTTTCCGTTATATCAACATTTTTATTGGTACAACCAATAAAATTTTTTCTATATTAAAGAAATGTAAAAAAATGAAAAAAATATTCGAAACCAGACAAATCTTATTTATATTTAATTGTTGATTCACATTAATAATTTTTAAGTATTAAAAATAAATTAGAATTAAAGATAGATTGTGCCAAAAATTATAACAATTGGTGACAAATGAAAAAATTAAATAAATGTAAGTAAATAAGTTACATGTATGTAATGTAGATAAGAAATATATTGATTGATTGAAACGAAAGAAGAAAATAATTAAAACTAAAAATTAAATCTGGAAAAGAAAAAAAGGTAAATTTTTAATCTTTTTAATTTTTCATGAAAAAAAAATTGATATTTCATTTATTTATTTTTTCTTTAGGAAGAAATTTCAGTTTAAAAGATGAAAAAGAACGAAACAATAACCGTGACATATTATATACATAATAAGTATATACATAATTTGTCAATTAATAAAAATAAAATTGACCGTTTTTTTTATTTTCTGTTACACTGTCACCGAGATACATTCCCTATTCGATATCAATAAACATGTAGGGGTAAACGTTTGGCGAGGATACGAAGTGATCGAATACCCACACCCTCGAGTAGGAGTGGTCTCTTCTGTTGTTAAAGTAAATCCGTTTCGACATGATAAACGACGTTTGCGGATTATTAGAATCGTTGCAATCTGTTTGCGTTTACTTTTCTAAAATCGCCATCTTTAATCCATCCCATATGCCCCGGTCGAAGGGAATCCATCTTTTTGTTTTCATTCAACGATCTCCTTCGATCGTTCTTCTTCAAATATTACCAATATTATGCTTATAATTTTATAAAATTATTGATATCGATATACTTCTCTATTAGATTAAAGGAAAACAGAAATAATATAATATTTGTAAATCGAGGAGATTTTTTTCTAAAAGTGACTGCATTTGTATCATCATATTGCAGATTCGATCGCAATGACTGGAATAATTTGATCGACAACAAAGCTGAGATATCTCTTACGAGTGTTAGTTAACGAAAGAGGAGAGGATTAGAGATTAGAACACGGTACTTGCACCCATCTAAACTGGCCTCTCCGTCCCCTGGGTACAATATATCAATTCTCTTCACCCCACCAATGTTGCACGGTAGCAGGTGGCGTCCTGACGGCCACGCTCGTTCGCACCCTTAATTCCCAATTAATGTTATACCCGTCGTAAACGTATGCTTCATCCACGTTGCGTAAGTTGTAACATTAAACATGAAATATATTATAAATAAATGAAAGAAATATAAATTAACGCAATAAAAAAAAAAAAGAATCTGAAGCATTTCGTACGATTTAATAAACGGAAGCTTTTCTTTCTTTTCTTTTGTTAATGTGTATATTTATAATTTTTAAATTTTTCAGTCACGATTCGAAACAGAATTTCAAAACAGAACAAATTTTCATTTTTCATTTTTAAACACTATCTTTTACCATTGTTGCGTATAAGAGGAATTTAATTGTGATTTCAGAGACGAGACTCTTTGAGCGATAATTTTCGCAAATTAAGGATCGATTAGGAGTGGTTCTCAGAGTCTAACTGTCTATCTTCACCGAATTACGAGCTATCGAGTTTCAAGATTACCAAATTTCACGGTCTAACGCCTCCATCTGGAATAGTATGGGGTCTATCAGGGGTGTAGTGTAATTGAGGTATCATCCCTGTCCACGTTCTAATTGGCGGAAAATTGTTAGGGCGAACGTCCAAGAAGATTCACTCAGGGAATTCGAGTTAAATATATTTAATAACAGTTCTTTCAATTATTTCATTACATTTATTCTCTCTCTCTTTTTTTTTTTTCGTAGAAAAAATTCAAATTGATAAAAGCAATCTTTTAAATCTTTTCTTCACTCAATACAATTGATATCTTTAAAGAGTAAAATTAAGTAAAAATTGGATATCAAATATATATATATATATATATTTATACGATTCATGAGAGTATCGATTTTTCCGAATTTGTTATGTCTCCTACTTGAATCATAACTACGAGATACGTGGTGATCGTTCCAATCACCTAGAAAGATCAATAAATCACATAAATTAATCAAGTATAAATTTTATTCGATTAGGTATACGCACTCCTTGGATGAACGAGTGATCCAGATTGAAGAATCCGTATGCCGTAAATATCACTGGATTTTGGATCAATTGTAGAGTGAAATCTCGAATCTGAAAGGATCATTTTCAAATCATCTCGAGTTAACATGAATTTTACATATTTCCCTTTCGAATCTTTACCTCCGCTTGAAATTCTTTGGTGGTGGATGGCTCGTAAAACTCGCAGATAATGTTGCCAATGTTTACTGCCTGTAAAAATTTATACACGTGACTCATATAATTCCTCGACTTCTTCCATATTTTAATATAGTTCGATTTTAAATGCACAATTTACTAGCATATTTTCAATGCCGATACCTCTGAGTTGGTGCTGGCACAAACGTGATTCACGTGCAAGATTTGCGTCCCGTAGATCAATATCCAGAAAATAACGGAGATCAATTCCTGTACGAGCTCGTTTATGGTAAAATGCTGCCAAATGATCCTGTACAACAGGTGGAGAAGATTGGTGGTGAACACAACCGACACCGTCATCTGTATCAGGATCTGTATCCCGAATGTTTGATTAAGAAGCATCACGATCTTGATTATCTCCAGATGGATTTGCCTTTGCAAAGAGAAACGAAAGTGTAAGTAAAAACCAAGCAAACTTTTACTCGTCGTTAATATAATTCTCATCTCGATCTAATCGTGAAATCTCACTTCACTGCTCTTATAGTGTTCGTGTTCCTTCTTACGTGTTCATTCCTGTACAAAGTGAATCTGTTGTTCTCGAAATTGTTCGTCATTTCCAAGACCCTTTTGTGCAGTGGCGACTCCATTACTCTCATACTGCGAAGCAACTCGTTCAACTGACGAAACTTTAATTTCAAGCACCTGCGTATATTGCACATTTTATTTATTTAACATAATTGAAATAACGCTGTTTAAATCAATCTTCGAAGGAAGAAACTGATCCGTTCAAGACTGATTTAATAAAATAAGTGTTCTCCTTTCGAGAATGTTTTCATACGTGACCCAGAAGCAGAAGGAGATGGTGCTAACGCCGAACACTATGAACGGAATGTTCGGTAAAATGGAAAGGCATAATTTAATAAGCGTTGGTGTGGTCGACTCGTAATGCCAATAGTAGATCAACACGACGAATATGAGCGTGTACATTCCAAGCAATATGTATTTTTTGATCTGGTACATCATCAGGCAACGATGCTTCGGTGATAATCCTATGTTTTCCATTTTCTCATCGTTCAATTCTACAAGCGACACTACTGTCCGTAATTGCTGAAAGTTGAGGCAATGTAACGAAGTTCCAATATATATAACTGTTGCAAAGATTAATTTTATCACAATTTCCAAAATTTATATTTGAATTTATTTGCAGATCCAGAAGAAAAAGAAGGATAAGAGGAAGAGGAATTTGCTGAAAGTTGAGGCAATGTAACGAAGTTGCAAATATATATAACTGTTGCAAAGATTAATTTTGTCACAATTTCCAAAATTTATATTTGAATTTATTTGCAGATCCAGGAGAAAAAGGAGGAAGAGGAATTTGCTGAAAGTTGAGACAATGTAACGAAGTTGCAAATATATTTAACTGTTGCAAAGATTAATTTTGTCACAATTTCCAAACTTGCAAAATTTATATTTGAATTTATTTGCAGATCTAGGAGGAAAAGGAGGAAGAGGAATTTGCTGAAAGTTGAGGCAATGTAACGAAGTTGCAAATATATATAACTGTTGCAAAGATTAATTTTGTCACAATTTCCAAAATTTATATTTGAATTTATTTGCAGATCCAGAAGAAGAAGAAGTATAAGAGGAAGAGGAATTTGCTGAAAGTTGAGGCAATGTAACGAAGTTGCAAATATATTTAACTGTTGCAAAGATTAATTTTATTACAATTTCCAAAATTTATATTTGAATTTATTTGCAAATCCAGGAGAAAAAGGAGGAAGAGAAATTTGCTGAAAGTTGAGGCAATGTAACGAAGTTGCAAATATATATAATTGTTGCAAAGATTAATTTTGTCATAATTTCCAAACTTGCAAAATTTATATTTGAATTTATTTGCAGATCCAGGAGAAAAAGGAGGATAAGAGGAAGAGGAATTTGCTGAAAGTTGAGGCAATGTAACAAAGTTGCAAATATATATAACTGTTGCAAAGATTAATTTTGTCACAATTTCCAAAATTTACATTTGAATTTATTTGCAGATCCAGAAAAGAAGAAGAAGTATAAGAGGAAGAGGAATTGAAAGAGCCATTTAAAATCACCTGTGCTTTTATCCTGGTAATGATGATCAACAGGCCTATCATCCAAATATTCGCGTGGAACATCCATTGAAATATAAAACGGCTCAGATTGAACGTGCTGATGACATAGTACTTGTCGTAATAGGGCAAGGTGAATTTATTAATGAAATGAAGTATACCCAGATTGCATATCGTGTAGAAATATTCGAGTTTCTTCAAGGGTTTGTCCGCCTCGATACCGGTCACACCCATGCCGAAGATGAAGTTCATCACCATCAACGGTTTGATCGTTTCTTTCAATGTTTTCGGCTCGTACATGGCGAGTTGAAAGTGGAACTGGATCAACTTTTCAACGCCTTTCCTTCTTTATTTTATTCATACATCGTCGTATTTCCCGATAGGTAGATGGTTATCGTGACACGATTATTATATAAGTAGTGCTGCTAAGTAATGAACGAGCACAACAATTGCTCGTTCGAATCGATATTACGGTGAAAGTGTTGTTAACAAGGTTAATGATTAACTAGTTAAATGCGTGGTTCAACTGTTGTCTTAACGATAAAATTGTAAAAGCGTTTTTCTGAAGCGTGATACATTTTTTCTAAATTTTTAGCTCATTTTTAGCAGCGCAGAAATCTCGAAGAACATGTTGATATCTGTTTCTGAAAGAGTCTGAAACTTTGTTAAAAATCACAATTGGAAGAATATTTAATATTTTATATTGTTTTATTTATAATCTATTATATTCGACAAGTATGAAAAATTATGTTCGAACGTCGATCCAACTTTGATTCGTGGTCGTTTGAACGTTGCTCAAGTTGTAACTCGTCACATTTTCCATCGAGACATGGTGTTTTATCGATGAATTTTGGCTCCATTGTATCATGATAATAACGTAAGACAGCATGAAACTTATGCACTGAAAAAAATATCTTGTTAAATCTTGTCAATGATCCGTAAAAAGGAATACTAACGTGTCGAATGTAACAATAATTGATTTTATAATCAATCGTTTTTGATTCTTCGAGTTGCGTGTACGATATTTGAAAAAAGAATTGGAGAAACTGTGAACAAATGAATTATTATTACGTTATTGTCTCTTTTTTTTTCAACGCAAAATTTCACTTAATCACGCATCATCGTTCACCTCGTTTCTTAATTCAATGTCTTTTTCGTCCAAAGGACACAAGTGAATAATGTTTATCGTTCTCTTAGCCTGAAAATCGAATAGATCAAACTTTAGATTTCTCGCTTCTAGAATTTCTAAAAACGATAAACAATAATTTCTCACCTCATTTATTGCACATTCGCAATAATAGGCTAAATAAACGACCTTCATAAAACTTCCAAAGCTATTCCATATACACAGTATCGACATCTCTAACAATTTCTTAACACCGATCATTCTTTTGATCTCCTCGTATATATAATACGCATCTATTATTATGTAAATCATAATTATGAACGTACACGTCAATAATTGCACGTTATAAACGTTGTTCATCATCTTCGACACATTGGAAAGTTGCAATTGCGCCGATCTTAAAATTTTATTCAAATCTCTTTCCATGGAAACTACACTTTGATCGATTCAAAAATCGATCATTCGTTTCTCAATTTCGAATTTCATTTACCTGATTTGTCGAACCAAACGAACTTTCTCGCCCAATCCCTGTCTCGAGGCTGGAACGTGGTTCACAGGAAATACTTGGCAACCGTGTAGAGAACGCTGGAACGACCAACTGTCGTTCGATCGGGATCTATTCCTGAAATTAGGACTCAGAAGGATCGCATCCTCCTTGGATCCCTTCTCCATTTTCCCTCGATCCGAGAGAATCGTTTCGAGCAGCTCGTTCGTCTGTTCGAATCTCAGTCTCAGCCAACTGCAAGATGTCAATTTGAAAGTTAAAAAGACGATGAAAATTATAGAATTTGATATACGTACTGCACGAGTATGTCGTAGTCGTACAAAGCGAACGACTCTAAATTTATAATGTATATGTAAGAAAAACTGGTAATTATTTCAGATATATTTCTTTTGTATTTTATCGAGTTCAAGAATAATCCTATTAACACAATCGAATGGATCAACCATATCAATCCAGTGATCTTCACTTTACGGTACACGCTTTGATACTCGATCTCGATCCCGATCTCCTTCAAATTTTCGTCCACTTGGTCGATGCGTTTTCGTAACGCGATCACATCCTGGACAAGAAATAAAAAGTGAAAGTTTCTCTCTTTGACAGGAGAAAAATGTTCTTTTTTTACACTCTCGTTGGTTCGCTTTTTTGATAAACGATGATAAAGAGAAACGAAAAATTGGATAAAGAAGAGCTTGTTCGAAGATCCATTACCTTCGATTTACACCAACCCGTTATTATTATAATTATGTATCCATAGACAAAGATGAAAAGTAGAAACGTGTACGTGATGCGTTCCTTGTTGTACGGCATGCCACTTAAATTGTGCATTTCCAGGCATGACATGAAATAGACGAACGTGACGAACGAGACGATATTATAGATCCAGCTGAGCAAGAATTTCGACAAATTCTTTTCCTTCTCGTAATATCGGAACGATGTCGCGTACGATAATACGATTATTATTCTTGTCGCTGCCTCGTAACTTTTCATCCTTGTTTTCCTACTTATTTGGGGAGAAAAAAATGGAAAAAAAACTGTTAAAATTGACGATATTAATTATTAATATTAACGCCGAAATACGTGAACCTACGCGGATACTTTCGAAGGAGGATTATCGAGAAAAGGTTTATTACGTTCACTTAAAGATGACGATCAATTTATAAAGAAAGAAAAATATCGTTCGAATTATAATTTTATATCTGTTAACTTCATTATCTATATTCGAATCGAGGGTAAAAAAACGACACGAACGTTACTTCGTTTCTAAACTAAAGGTTGAAAGTTGAAGAAGTTGATTGCATGCACATTAACGTAATTGTAAGAAGCAATGAGTAAATATACGATGATGAAAAAAGAAAAAAGAAGGAGTAATTCATTTTCACAGTTTATTGAGGAAACATACAACTAATGCAATTTCGAACGATTACGATCAATTTAAAAAAATTGCTCTAATTTAGTTGCGAGAAAAAAAAAAAATATATATATATATACATTCTTTCTAAATATTGTATCAATTGCTTCGTCGTTCGAGATAATAAATTTCGAACAGATCGATGCTTCAGGATCGAGCTTAATACCTTAGAATTTATACCACTTTTATTATTACATTCATATATTATCGCAATTCACTACTACGATTCTAATCTAATAGTTTTAAATTTTCAATAACCATTTGCAATAATGAAAAATAGGATCTAAAGGATCCGATAGAAACGTCGTGTTCTATCCATCAATTCTTCGTTAAAATATTCCATCATTCTCTTTCCTTTTTTCCTTATTTAAGAGCGAAAAATATTTTCTTAGCCCTTTAACTTTATCACATCGATAAGACTAAAATCCCTCTTATTTGTTTGAGTTGGCTATAATTATTGATTATTTTCATTGACAAAGAGAAAATAAAAACTTCGAGTTACCTTTTTTTAACTAAGGAGGGCGACACGGTACAACATTTCATCGATTATCGACCGAAACGAAGAAAATTCTCGAGTAGAGAGAGAGAGAAAGTAGAAAAAAGAAAAACGAAAACGAGGAAGATCGACGAGCCGTGAAGTTGCAACGACCTGGAATCGAGGAAAGTCTATTTCGTAGGACGATGATCGGTAAGTGGTGAGCCCCCACGATTCGGAGAGGAGGATTTGGAGGATACGTGGACTCGTGGGGCGTGGTGGCTCCTTTGGGAATCGGGCTAATCCACGGAACGGGATTGATTTAAGAGTTTCGATTCGGCCGGTTTGCGAATAACTGCGCTTCGAGCGTCGTTCGAGGGGAAAAATTGGCGAAGGAAAAAAGTGTTGTTTCGACGGAATAGATGACGTTCCAATTCGAAATAGTTGGAAAACGTTTGGATTAAACGATTGAAATAAATTTGTCTGATCCCATCGTGGTTGTTTAAGGTTATGTACACACACAACGCGCGTCAGCATTCTGATGTATTATTAATTTAATATACATTTACATAGACGATAAATTATTATTAACAAGGACGAAAACATGAATTTTCCCGACAGTTTAGAGGCGGCGACGGATTGTCTAGAAAGAGAGGTCGAATTACACGTGTTTTATATACGATAAAATAGGTTGGAAGAAAAGAAAAGAAGGTGGAAAAGATTCTGTATACTTTCTTCTCGATATATATTCGACTCGAGCGTCATACCGGATGACGCGCAGAATTCGATTGTGTAAAAATATAGGGAACCGAGTCCCTGCTCGGCTCAGGCCTCGAGGACGTGGTTCAAGTAAGCGATGTAGCAGATGGCGAGTCGAAGGATCTCGATCTTTGACAACTTCTTGTCCGGCGGCAGAGTCGGCAGAAGCTTTCGAAGCTCCGCGAAAGCTAGATTGAACGCTTCTACTCGGACCCTTTCTCTGCGAACAATCAGTGAACGATGATTAGAATTTCAAAATTCGAAGAGTTGAAAAGAGAAGTCGAAATTATTCGAGTTTTTTTTAAAAGTAAAGGAATTCGATGAAAGAGATGGAGGAGTTAATTGTCGAGTCGAAATATTTAAGAGAC